TTGAGGGCTCAATCCTCACAAATGGATCGTCAGGGCCATCCCGGTCAGCAGATCGGTTACGGACCAGTTGACCGTTAAACCGTACCTGCTACGTAAGGTCCAGGTACTGGATATTGTAGAGTCTGGCGACCTCCTCATGTTCGCGCCCACCTCCCCCATACAGGGTCTGGAAATAGATTCTGCTGAGTGGGGCTGGAAGACCAAAACATCTACCAGCACAGCGCAGCGAAATTGGAATATAACGCAATACACGACCTGGTTGGGCTATAGACTTCGAAGAAGACACCAAGATATACCGGCAACTTTAAACCATTGGTGGCGAAACCACTGCAAATCACCCTGCCACCGTCTCCCCGTGCCCTTTGGCAAGCTACACTCTCCATTTCCAATGGCTAATCTTCCACTTGGCTCTCCCTGTCAATCAGTGGCTGAACGAGAGGAGAAGCATGCAAAACAGAAGCCATCTGAATGAGCTGTGCGCTGCATGCGATGAGGCGGCGGTGGAGGACATTGGCCACTGCCTCTTACTCTGTAAAACACCAGCGGCTTGTGGCTGGCGCCGGCTGCCTTCTGGGAACCAATAACGCAAAAGCCCTTCCCGAGAGGAGCCCAGGTCAGACTCACTGGCTTCTCACCCCCTGCGGGCCTCATAGCATAGGAGCGCAACCTGTTCCAGCTGATAAGACTGCATGCACTATGGCTACTATGGAGACGCAGATGCCAACGGACATTTCAACACACAAGGCCCCCGACCTCCTGACGTGGGATAACTACAGAGAAGACCTGGAGCTTGAATACCATACTGATTGGGCCCAGACCAAACACTCAATAACATCTGACCCGGGTAAGGAACATGACATCAGACAGAGATTTGTTAATGGGACACTGGGCACTGGCAGAATAGGTGAAATAATTTTACAGCACCTGAGGTTTAATTGGCCCAGGCTCCACCAGTCAACGCCCAAGCACCATCCCAGCGGGACGGCTCTCCCAACCCGAACTCTCCCCCCTCCCTTTGCCAGCAACTCAACCGACCATGATACAGGGCTGACCGCCTGAACTGAGACTCCACAAGGGAAAGAAGGTGCGATGGAGCTGATGAGGAACAGGACAGGCCAAACAAACCCATACTGAGACTCTGGGCGCGGACACGATATCAGCAATGGAATCGACATGAAGAGGACAACGAGTACCAACAGGAGAATGAAGGGAGCAGCCTGGACACCAGACCCTCAGACTGCAGAAGAAACACCAAGCCGGATGGAGGGAATTGGCTGCTCCGGCACCCGCTGCAGCGGCCTCAGTGGGACGTGCATGACAAAGCAGACAACGGATAATATTTGGAGCTTCACAGAGATGCCGCAGGCTGGTCACTCGGATTGCTCAGTCTAAGACCGTATGGCCGTACTGCAGATTTTCTGCTCCCTGGGCAGCCACTGCTCTGGGGCCTCCCAGAGTGACCGGGGTATCCCGGCACAGACCAGCCTTTCAGCACACAGTCGTGAAGCGGGAGTCCACCAGGCAAGGGGATGTAGATCCTCGCTGGAATGTTCTAGTGGCCGAGGCTTCGGGCTCTTTGCCTGGCATACCTTGAAGGGGTAGCGGGCAGTACATCCACTCAAGAGTCTGTGAGATAGTCAGTGCAACCAGATTGGCGCTGGCCCATATTAAATTGAGGAAAGAGTACTAGGGAGAGCAGCCACACCGTAGAACGGGAAAAGGGCACAGATACAGAACAAACTCCTGGGGCAGGGATCTTCCTCAGCCGGGCAATGGCCCCGCTATCTGATCCATCAGCTTTCAATAAATTGTACCTGGGATGCCGGACCCGGTTTCCAGCAGGTGTGGGTCCCCACCAATAGACTGGAGCGACCAGCAATAGGCGTACTAGGAGGGGACACTCTTATCGCCCTTCCTAGTATGCCGTAGCTGGCCTTGTCATCAAAATCTCTTATACCCTAAAGGAAAAAGCGGTCCGTGCGTGACGCTCCCGCTGGGCCCAGTGAAAATCGGGCAGGGAGGTCAGCGTGCGGTGCCGCAGGGGACCAAGGAGGTCGCGACGTTTGGGGAGGCCGGTAGCCGGCTGTCGCAGGGTCCCGTCGGAGTGGGCCGGTAGCGTGGCGGGCCGGTCGGGTGGACCGTCGGGAGTCGGTCGGCAGTGGGGCAGGGCGGTTGGGTGGACCGAGGGCGGAGCGGGCCGATAGCGTGGTGATAGCGTGGTGGGGCGGTTGGGTGGACCGCGGGCGGATCGGCCCGATAGCGTGCCGATAGCGTG